GAAAAGGATTTTATTTTGGTGATTATAGTTTACTTCACTTCCTGTTCCTGTTGTTCTGAAGCGCGAACTGCTGAAGCAATGTATGGTTTTTCCCTCCTGTGTTGCTAACAATTAAAGAAACGGGAAAAGTAATCAACCACCAAGTGTGTGCATTATTAAGAGAACATGGCCGAAGAAGAAGAAAACCCTTCGAGCTCAACAGGGGAGGAGACTAGAGAGAAGTGAGAGGATGAGAGGCGTACAGCACAGGTTAGAGAAAGTGGGCAGGAACCCTCTGCTTTCCCCCCACTTAAGTTTCGTTTCTTGTCGTTGGCACTTCAAGGCACTTCAAGGGAAACAGCCAGAGAGGTGAGATATTTTTGTGTGAGTGTGTGTGCTGTTCATGACCTTATTTTTCTTATTCTAAGGAGCTTGGAAAGAAAGCATCTGGACTTCTTTAAGTTTCTTGAAGACATTTCTTCTATCACCTGAGAAGCTTCTTGGGTTCTAAGAGCAAATGGTGGAGAGTCCCAGATTTGCTCTTAGAACTGAAGAAGCTTCTCAGATGGTTGGAGAAATGTCTTCAAGAAACTTAAAGATGTCCAGACGCGTTTCTGTCCAAGCTCCTTAGAGTACGATGACCTGGATGACTGAGAACCTTCACAGACACATTTTTTTCTTATTCTTTCTTTTACTACGACATAAAGAGTGTTCACAAGGCAGGAGATGCTCGTGGGCTTTAAGAAGCTTTAGGTGTTTTTCTTTTTAATGAGCTCTTATGGGAACCTGAGTGTACTTTAATGACATATAAATGGGGAAAAAAGGGCTCCATTAGCTGCAAGTCCTGCGCTGACACGGGGCACGCCCAATCCTTTGATTTTCATAATGTAGGTCTCCATCAGGGACAAAAGGGCCACAAGTTGGAACCCAACTTTGTCAGGATTGTTTTGCACCTCTGGGTTGTCTCTGAATATTATCCGTGAAGCTTTGTGTCAGGATCCCAGACAGGGCACATTTACACACAACTTCGAGTCGCTCGCCTTGAGGGCATAACCGATTACGGTTAAACATTCATGTTTGTGCAACTGTCGCTCTCTGTGCACCCTCCTCCTGCTGGTTTCTATCTCACCCACCCCTCCCCCCTTTTTCTCTTCTTCTTCCCTTTATCCTTTCAGTTTTCCATAGAATTTCCATAGGATTGTGTCGGCAAGTGTGACCTTATTTTTCTTCCTCCACCCAGAAAAGCTCTGCACCATGTCTGCTCCTGGTAAGTGACTGTATTTCACATTTGTGCTGACTGTTTTCCTTTCTTCATTGGGAGAAAATATGAAGATGTAAGAGTGTTTTAAAAATGTGAGAAAAAAATCCGGTCCACCCCCCCAAAAGAAAAACTACTCACTTGTTATCACTGTCACGGTCAGCAATGGCAGACCGTGGAGTTGAGGAAAGTGGGACCCAAACGCTGGACTCTTATAGTGAAGGACAGTGGATTTATTTATAGTGAGTGGAAGAACAACAACTATGTACAGATCCAGCACTGTGGCTCCAGTGGCGATTCCTCTGTGAATCCCACACAGTGCACGTGTCCATAAACAGTGAAAAAGGTGACAACTACAAAACCAGATTCTGCTCTGTGATTTCCCCTCGAGACGACGCTCTTCACTCCCGACTCCTGGTGACACAAAACCACACACAGCTCAGCAGGAAACCCACAGTAGCGATGTCGTTCACACAAACACCCATCAACAGAGGTACTTTACAGGGCTAACATAGTATAATCCAGCACTGACTGGAGCCCCGCCACCTTCCTAAGCAGGACATCAGCTGCAGCTGGTGAAGGCTAACGAGCAGAAGGTGCAACAGCCTCCAGTGCGGGAACACCTCCGGGTCACAGTCCCCTCAGCGACCCAAAAAACCCGGGAGCGTGTATGATCACACACACAGGAAGGAGGAAAAAAGGAAAGAAAACCACCAAAACACAACATACAGAATAATAAACATATCCAAAAAATACATGAGCCCTGGGTCCTTAGACTGCTGTTCACCCCAAGTCCAGCACCCTGAGGCTGTACGCTAAGCGGAAGAAAGGAGGCCAGGGACTAGTGAGTGTCAGCACCACAGTCCAGGATGAGGCAGTGAACATCCGTGAATACATCAGGAAGATGGCCCCAACCGACCACGTGCTCAGTGAATACCTCAGGCAGCAGAAATCCGAGGAAGAGGAGGCACCATCCTGGAGGGACAGGACCCTGCACAGTATGTACCGCCGGCAGATAGAAGAGGTGGCTGATATCCAGAAATCCTACCAGTGGCTGGACAAAGCTGGACTGAAAGACAGCACAGAGGCACTAATCATGGCAGCACAAGAACAAGCTCTGAGTACAAGATCCATAGAGGCTGGGGTCTATCACACCAGGCAAGACCCCAGGTGCAGGCTGTGTAAAGATGCCCCAGAGACAATCCAGCACATAACAGCAGGGTGCACGATGCTAGCTGGCAGGGCATACATGGTATGCCATAACCAAGTGGCCGGCATAGTATACAGAAACATCTGTGCCGACTATGGCCTGGAAGTCGCGAGGTCAAAATGGGAAATGCCAACTATGGTGGTGGAGAAGGACCGAGCTAATCTGTGGGACTTCCAGATACAGACGGACAAAATGGTGGTGGCTAACCAACCGGACATAGTGGTGGTAGACAAACAGAAGAAGACGGCCATAGTGATCGATGTAGCAGGTCCGAATGACAGCAACATCAGGAAGAAGGAACACAAGAAACTTGAGAAATACCAAGGGCTCAGAGAAGAGCTGGAGAAGATGTGGAGGATGAAGGTAACAGTGATCCCAGTGGTAACTAGCTAAGCAAGTGGCTCCAGCAAATCCAGGAAAAACATCAGAGATCTCTGTCCAGAAGAGTGCTAGGAACAGCTAAGATACTTCGCAGGACCCTCAAGTTCCCAGGCCTCTGATAGAGGACCCGAGCTTGAAGGATAGAGAGGGGAATTTATATACCGGTATATATATGTAGCGTAGTTTTTATGTGTGTATATTTATATTGTCATTCATACTCAGAGTTGATGGATTGTTTTAGTTTTTTGTGATCTCTTACATTTCCCCCTTGTATTTCTTATTTGTGCTAAATATTGGTAAAATTGAGCTCTACTTTCTCAAGTTTGACTGTCATAGTTTGTATGGCGACAACCGAGCTCATATATTCAAATTCAGTCAAATCAGACTGTCAGTATATCTGAACAGATTTCCCCTCCAGTTTACCCAGGTGCTCCAAACCAGTCATCCTACCCCATGTCTCAGCCGGGTGGAGGTACATGTCCAGTTTCTCCTGGATATGGACACCCCAGTCATGGCCATCCACCGGGCTTCAACATGGGCTATAAAAAACAGCCTGCGGTCATGTACCAGCCAGTACCCATAGGACCAGCTCCAGGCCCTGAATACGGTGGCCCATCAGGGGGGATTTCACCAGCTCCTGGAGGTCCAGCAGTCCCCGTTGGTGTCCCACCTGGACTTGAGTACCTCACACAGGTAGGGCAGAGAAAGGTTAAACCAGTGCAGTTTTTTGTTGTTTTGTTTTATATGCTGTCCTGTTCAGCAGCTTTTGGAGTCACAATTATGATCTGAATGCACTCTTGTGCCAAACATATTTTGCTTTTCCAAGATGAGCTCTGAAAATTCACTGTAGGCTCCACTTGTTCACGTCTTTCTTTCATCTATCTAGTTATTTCTTTCTATTAGTGTTATATCAGTCATTGGATAGTAGAGACCTTCCCAAACTGTGGGGCCCATCCCCGGGGGGGGCGGGGGGCGGCGCAGAGCCATGGCAGGGGGGGCACGGGATGAAAAGGGGGGGGAAAAAACAAAACGCTTGGACACTGCTAGCACGGGCGCCTACAGAAACGCAAAGCAGGAGATGAAGCATCGCTGAATATGTTTCCAAACCAACTTCATTCTAAGCCTAGGACTAGAAAATATGGTGAAGCATATCTGCCCTTTGGTTTCACCTGCACAAGTGCCGAGGTAGGTCTCCCCTGCAGAATTGGTTTTCCCTTTGTTGGGAGCAGCGCTGGGCTGTTTAAATCACGGACAAACAGTATCCCACATTTGTGATTTTTAGTTCACAAACACTTGCTGTAATAACTAACTACTCCTGACATTTTGGAGATGTTAGCTCTGTATACAGTAAAGTTACAGCGGGATACAAATAATATCAGGCTGATCCTGCCACGATTTGTTCCACCTGTTCAAATCACGGACAAACAGTATCCCACAGCTGTTTATGTTTTTGAACCCATTTTGCACAGAGAGGCATTTTTTGAAAAATGTATTGATAGCAATGTTGAATATTATTACACAGGGAAAAAAAACAACTACACGTAAAATAATCACATCTGCCTTTGTAAATGGAGGGACTGTAACTGCGTGCGTGTATGTAAGTGTGTAAAACCTGCAGATAGTCAGTTTAACAGTATTTTGTCTCTATCTGCCATTCTGCAATTCTCATGTAAACAATAACGTGGCGCACAGCGTGACGTGAAAAAAGGCACATACCTTTGACGTTGCGTGACGAACTCTGTATTCCTCGTCCACACATAAACACAAAAAAGGAGTTTTGAAAAATCTCAGTTTTCGGTGATTCGAAACGCTGTTTACGTGTGGACGAAACAGCTGCGTTTTCAAAAATACCCGTGTAGGTGTGGACATAGCGTAAAAGAGTTAGTAGTTTATTTTCTTACTACCTGTAATTTATTGCAGATTACTTGTATTTGCTTAATTGTTTACTAAATGTTTGAGGTGTGAAATAAACCGCAATGGAGCAAAATATGGGTGTGTGTGGTTGGAGGATGTGTGGGTGCGTGTGCGTGTTCGCGGGGGCGCGAACAACACGAAAAATGTTCGGGGAGGCGCGAACATCTTTCTTGTAAAACAAAGGGGGGCCCGGCAAAAAAAGTTTGGGAACCACTGGCAGAATAAAAAATAAAAAGTCATTGCAATCAGGTGATTGTGAGTGCTGTGGCATTGGTTCAGTGTCTTGTTAAATGTCATGAATTTTGATACAGCTGGATACTGGAATGCCTAGAATTGTACAAGATCAATGGGACCCTAAGAGCCTTCATCAGGAACTCAATGGGGATGTGGCGTACAACACTAGAGGCCAACTCCAAGCCCATAGCACAAGTCACCATCAAGTGCGGGAT